GTTTTTGTTTATGTTCTTTGTTTTTTTGGTTATCGTTTGTTTGTTTTTGATGTTTTTTGTTTGTTTTGTGTGATGTTTTTGTTATTGTTTTTGATGTTTTTTGTTGTTATTGTTTTGATGTTTTTGTGTTAATGTTTGATTTTTTTGTTGTTTTGTTGGGATGTTTTGTTTGTTTCATATTGTTCTGTGTTTGTGTTTGTTGTTGTTTGTTTTTGTGCGTTTTCTGTTATGTTTGTTTTTTGCTTGTGTTTTGTTTGCATTTATGATAATTATTATTTTATGAATTTAATAATAATTTTGATTCTACTGAGGACTGCCATTAACATTATTATGGTAATGGTAATGTTTTATTCATAGTAACAGTGATGATGATGATGATGGTGATAATGGTAATGGTGATATAAAGAAGGTAATAAAGAGAATAATAATGGTGATGATGATGATGATGATATAAAGTTGATGATGATGATGATATTGACGATCTGATAATGTTAATGATAATAATGATAATGATTATGATAAAGATGACGATAAAGATAATGATGATAAAATAGTGATAATGATAACGATAACGAAACGATAATGATAATAACAACGTTTATGATAGTGATGAAGATGAAAGACATTGCCATAAAGAAAGCACATCTGGAACTTCTTGTTGACAAAAAGAACCTTTTCTTACCTTCGCCTCGAGCTCTACAACGCCAGGGACAGACACGTACTTCGCCACGGCCTCCCTCGACTCTACAAAACCTGGAAAAGGCAATTGTTAAATAAATCAGCGAGTGTTTTTTCCGATCTGTGGGTAACGAAGTCATTTTCGAATATATTTGATGCATTCCTGTTAATGATAACAAATGGAATATAAGTGAAATATGAAATAAATATCTTCATAAATTCTTCTTGTTCGCTTTTTCAGGATCCGGTTGCTTTGTCGGTTTAAATTCTTTCTACGTCAGTTTTGCACTAGAACAAGTACCACTTATCTAGCTAACTATCCTTCCCTTTCTCTATCTCTTTCAATAGATAAATAAATATATTAATTCTGAAGTATAAGGTAAGCGTAAGTTATTTAGTGGCTTTTTATGTGAGACGTAAAACCTGTTTATACTGGTTCAAAGCGGTCATAAGAACCGCATACAGTGAGATACAGCAAGCACTCTTTTGTTTGTTTTTTTGTTTTTGTTTTTTTCTTATTTCCTTCTTTTTTTCTTTCATTCTTTTTCTCTTTATTGAACTGCCCTGTTCTCTCGCTTTTCCGTCGGTATAATTGTTCTACTTTCGTTAATAGAAGAAGCATGGTTCATAATTTCTACTTGATAATTACAAGAACAGTTATCAGTTGTTAAAGTGAACGAACTAAAAAAAATAAATAAATAGATAAATAAAGATAAAAAAGCGTGTATCAACTGTATATAAGTAATCGGTTGTTGGGGAATTAACGGTTAAAATGGTTAAAAATACCCTCGATAGTCTATGATACCGTTTTCTATAATGAACAAACAACGGAAACTTACTGGAGGGAAAAAATTATGGTCGTAATGCCACCTTTAGAGCTTGGGGCCTTTGGACTCGGTAAGGTCAGACAGGTCAAGCAGAAGGAGGGGGAGGGCAGGGAGAGGGGGGGGGAGAGTAAGAGTGAGAGAGGGAATCGCAGATGGTCAGGCAGAGAGAAAGGGTGACACACATGCGCACACACACACAAACACCAACACACACGCATACAAAGAGAGGAGATGGCGAGAACGAAAGAGAGTGTGTGGAGGGGAGAAAGAGAGAGAGAAAGTCGAGCAGACACAGTTCAGAGAGAGAGAGAGAGAGAGAGAGAGAATCACAATAAATCGAAAATAGGACGCAATGCCACCCCCCCCCCAAAAAAAAAAAAAAAAAAAAAAAAAAAAAAAAACTTCCATTACACTCATTCGGACATGTTGCAAGACGTTAAACATAAGAAATGACTTAAAAATAAATAAACTGGGGGGGGGGATACGCGTCAGAGGTCTGTAGCACAGACGACAACGCTGAAGATGCCAATCCACAAATTGTCATGAAGCTGTTCTTGTCATTTAGTCAACACTCTCGAAGACACCGCGGTTGCCATGCGAATTCATGAGGAAAAACAAATGGGAAAATAAGCGGTTTATTGTTTGTACTTTTTGTTCTTTTTTAGTTGTTTTATTTATGATGTTCGTTTGATTGATATCATATAGGCCTATCCTATTCTGATTTCACTTTATATCGTCATTTTATTCTCTTTAACACTTTCTTTAATATTCTATCTTACCGCACCTCATCTTATTCATTTAATTATTTATCTTATTTTTGATTATCTTGCCTTACCTGTGCTTGGTCCGTAACCATTGTATTTGCCACTACGGATGGATGTGACTACGGCTTCGGTAATTTCTTCAGCGGGTTTTAGGTTTCCGAACACAGTGGGGTCAC